ATGTATATGTACAGTATATATGTATATATAGCACTAAATACTGCGAGTTAGATATTATTGTAATGTTTCTGACCTTTGCTTGAGGAGATTTTCTCAATCTGGACCTTTTGGATATTTAGTTGAAGACCCTGGTATAGAGGATCAGGACTAAACTCAGACTGGTTCAGGACCAGATAAAGGTTCCTCACTGTCACATTGACGTCTTCAGGAGGAACCGATGAGCCACAGACAGGAAGTGAGACGGTGTTTAGAGACGGACCAACGTGATCTTTAATTATAAATAAAAACAACAGACTTTTAAAACTCATCAGTTCCTCTATCAGATGTTGACACAGTAGTCTGGTTCAGGGTTCAGGTCCTCAGAGTCCTGCAGGGCCTCAGGTAGGACCCCGCTGGAGGTCCTCACCATCCTCATGGTAGTCCTGCTGAACAGGGTCCTCTCGTAGTCCATCAGCTGCCTCCAGAAACCAGCGTTGGGTCTGATGAAGGGACGCTGATCCAGAACCACTTCGTGTGCCCGCCGGAGGCTAAGACCTTCAAACCTGTAGACACAGAGACCAGATCCTTTACCTCACTAAGACCACCTGGACCACAAACAAAGGGGGACCACATGGGGACGGGGTCTACCTCATCAGGTAGGCCATGATCAGGGTCGGGGATCGGCTCCGGCCGGCGCTGCAGTGGACCAGAGTCCTCCCAGTCTGGTTCTGGTGGATCCGCTCAGCCACCGGGTCAAAGTAGAGTCTCAGGAGGGCGTAAGGTCGGTCCTGGACCGGGACGTGGAGGACCTGCAGACCGTCCACCTGAGGGTAGACCAGGTCCTCCAGACCGCTGGCGTTCACGACGAGCGTGATATTCCTGCTGGAGAGGACGCCGAGGTTCAGGGCCGAGTCCAGACCACCGAGGAAGAGACCGGGGGACACCTGAGAGACCTCCATGACCCTCTAGAGGGGGCAGATTATTATTACTATAATATTATTGTTATTACTATAATAATATCATTAATCCTATAATAATATGAATACTATATTATTATTATTATTATTACTACCATATTATTATTATTACTATAATAATATTATTACTACTACAATATTATCATTACTATATTATTATTACTACTACAATATTATTATTACTACTACCATATTATTATTACTATAATATTATTATTACTACTACAATATTATTATTACTATATTATTATAACTACTACCATATTATTATTACTACTACCATATTATTATTACTATATTATTACTATAATATTATTATTATTACTACCATATTATTATTACTACTACCATATTATTATTACTTATTATTACTATAATATTATTACTACTACAATATTATTACAATATTATTATTACTATATTATTATTACTACTACAATATTATTATTATTACTATAATATTATTATTACTACTACTACCATATTATTATTATTACTACTACCATATTATTATTACTATATTATTATTACTACTACTATATTATTAAAATATTATTACTATATTATTATTACTACTACAATATTATTATTATTACTATAATATTATATTATTATTACTATATTATTATTACTATAATATTATTATTACTACTACAATATTATTAGTATTACGATAATATTATTAGTATTACTATAACATTATTATTATTACTACTACCATATTATTATTATTATTATTACTATAATAATATTATTGCTATAATATTATTACTATAATATTATTATTATTACTATAATATTATCATTTCATCCTTAATATTTATGAGGGCCTACTGAACCTTGTACTAAATATTGTTGTACATTTGTTGCGATGAAAAATAACATTAACATTTATGTGCTCTTTGTGTATTAGTTGTATTCATGATTGGTTCCGTCATATTACGACTTACATACACTTTGTTCTACTTCTGTATTTTTGTAAAAACGTAATTACTTCACGTCTGTGAGATTCAAAAGGTTACTGTCAGAAGTGGGATTCGAACCCACGCCTCCAGGGGAGACTGCGACCTGAACGCAGCGCCTTAGACCGCTCGGCCATCCTGACACTTAAGAGTTCCGAAAGGAAGGATGAGTATATAAAGGCCAGACATTCTGGGGACAAGTCCGGACACGCGCACGTACATACACGTGTCACAGGACAATGAGTCACTTTAGTTTGGTTTCGGTTCTCAGTCTGACTTCAGCTTCTCGTGCAGGTAAGACCTACTCTGTTTCTATTGGATTCTATTACACGATATTTATTTATTTACGGTCAGATTATTATAATAAATAAACACACAAACTGTTTTATTTAATAGACACGCGGTCACGATTTGTTCCGTTTAAACCAAACTTCATTCACAAATGTCGCAGTTAAAGGCTTCCTTCCTTCCTTCCTCCTCGGTTACATTGAATTTAAGAGTTTCCCTCAAAGAGAACATTCTGAAGGATTCGGCTTCCGGGTCACGTGATAGAAGCTCTCAGGTGGGATTGATTAGCTCGTGACAGATCAAAGATGGCGACTCATTTTGCTGGAAGAACAGCAAAGAAGAACAACAACAAATGTAAACACGAGCTGCTGCTGTCACGAGCTCGGTGCCGAATGTTAGCCGAGCTCCTCACGAGCCGTTAAATGTTTCAGCTGATCTGACGAGTGTGATTGGTCGACACGTGAAGGGTTTAGTTTATTACACATATTGTGAGTGGAGTCTGGTGATAAGTTCATTAATGTTGAAGATAGACAACAGACGTCACTCTCACCTGGGCTCCGTTCCTCGTACGTGGCTAACTGAGTTAGCCGGATACTTGTCAGGATAAGATGACGTAGATCAGGCTTTTCGGTTCCACGAAGCAAGTTCGG